AACAGTAGGATTGTAGTGTGATATATTGGAATATCAGCAACAATAGGATTGTAGTGTGAAATACAGGAATACCAGCAACAACAGGATTATATATGCATGCATGTTATACTAAAGCATGACAGACACTACCTGTTAATTATTACTAGTGACACCTACGGTAAAACTATATAAACAATATTCTCTCATAACTTAAATTATTAAAACTAATAATTATCTTAGGCAACTTCACAAGGAATAAACTGATAAAACACGATAAAGTAATAACAAGATGCAATCCTTCTGTTAGTCCAGGAAATCTGTTGTTTTGTATCCACTGCCTTAAAACCGAGCATCAGGGGATGTTATCTACTGATGACGTGTCTTCGGAGTAGCCTGTTGCTTTCTTAAAGCTACTACCTGTGTAACCCCTTCCCTCCTTGCTCAGTCTTCTGTCTCCCACTAACAATCTGTACAACTCCCCGTTCTCTCAAGGTCAATGTTAGCATCAATAAATGGCACGTGCCAGCTGTTAAAGACGACGTCACACGAGGATGCTGTGAAAGCTTAGAATTAGGTCAGTAACGGAAGAAGGGGGGGTCCTAATTTAATGACATCATCAAGCTGGTGGGTGTGACGTATGTGTATAAAATAGTGAGGTTTCACGGACAATGCCAATCACGTCACAAATGCGGCAGGTTGGCTCCGATAAAGATCGTTAACCTTACAAGAAACAACAACGTTATGTTGATTGTATATCAGACGCTGGGCCCTACTACTGTCGCCAAATGAAGCACTCGTACGTCCGAACTAAAAACTATTCAATTAATTACAGAAACTTGAAGAGCATGTTATTGCACAATTTAACAACGATCATGTGGATACCAAACCACAAGATTAAGTACCCCCCCCCTAAAAAAAAAAAGTGATACTGCAATTGAAAAATTAGACGCCTGAAAATGGTGTTAATAATAATAATACGTCAGAGAATACCACGACACCATACCGTGCATCAGGCCAGAGTTGTTTTTGAACAGAAGTATGAGTGCATCTATTTACCGTACACGAGATGACTGCAGATTCAATCTAATGGTAAGCAAATCAGCAATGGAACTTAACACACCATTACGCTAAGTATCTGCTTAGTTCCTGTTCTTTTCTAACGTGTTTAGGTATGATCCCAGCTTCGTTCTAAACCGGTTAACTTAAGTCGCTCAGAACATTTCAATTTACGTTTGGAAATGTTTTATTATTATTATTATTATCTGCGAGTTTTATCTATTATTATCTTCTGACTGTTAACAGTCGGTCTTGGTCTTAACCCGCTACTTGATGCTGATGGTGAACTGTTTGTGTTAATTTCGCGCAAAACTTCACGAGGGCTATTTAGCAGTGACAGGAATTTAACAGGAAGGCATCACCATCCACCGCCAACTCTTGGGCTACTGTAGTGGGATTGACCGTCACATTATAACGAAGGGGATTCGAACCCGCGACCCGCAGCTTGCGAGACGAGCGCCCTAACCACCTGGCCATGGTAGTAGACTAAAATACCCCCCTTTGTGTACTATGTTAAATAGATTATCTCGGCAGGTAAGAGCCTGACAATTAACAATACAATAAGCATCCTTTATCAGTCTGTCACTGAAATATTAACGCTCCATTTTTTAGCCTAATAAACATATATTACAAACACGATAGTGAACAGGTCTAACCAATCAAAATACTTATTCTTACCGACAGCAGGAGACAATGACCGCGACCCCGTCGATGATCCCGTGGGCGACGGGGCCGGTCTGAGGGGAGACACCCCTTGACTTTGTGAAGAGGGCGGGGTACTAGGAGTCCTCAGGACGGGGGTGGTGCTGCCACTTTTTCTTTCGTTAGGGTCAGGCTGTAGTTCATCAAGGACAGTCGCTGCGTCCTGTAGAAACATTACACTATATGTTACAGGGTCAAGTGACACAAACATTTCATCAACGTTACTGTTTCCGTTATCCAATTAATCAACTTAATTAAACACTACGTGTAGCAAGGTGTGTTGTAATACTATACCTACAGACATTCAAATTCAATATGATGTTCCGTGAAGCCTAATATCTCAAAATTAAAACCATATCCACATAATTTAATTTTTTTATATTATCTGTTTTTATTAAACACAAAGGTACACAACGCGCCATCTGTCGGAACCCGATCAATATGATGTTCCGTGAAGCCTAATATCTCAAAATTAAAACCATATCCACATATTTTTTTTTATATTATCTGTTTTTGTTAAACACAACGCGCCATCTGTCGGAACCCGATTTTTTGGCATTAAATACCTTCAGACTTACGTTACGACTAAAACGGTGTTTTTTTTATCAGGCCACTTGACACAAACGTATTTATCTTTCAACAAGAAGAAAAGTTCAACGCATCTTTAGATATTTTAAGAAATGCCACTTGTAAAATCTATTTAACCCTGTCCTCAATAGTTGTTTTAGACATTTTAAACCTAATACGTATATAAAACGTTCCGCCTCGAACCGCAACGCATAATTCACTAGTGCAAGTTATCCAGGAAGTTAAAATTTGGAAAACGCCAGTTAATTCTCATGCTCAGCTTTAGGCTTTGTATAAATATCATCATCAAAAAATCTTGATCCACAGCATCCCATGCTAAAATAAATCGCCTTTATTTCATACGTGCATATATAGTTATCAGCCATTTACAACAAGTATCAGCCATACAATAAGGTAAATTTCTGAAACTAATATAATATTCAGTAATCCCAATACTCCGCTTTAAGCCTAATATAGGTATTATAATTTAACCTTAATGTATATCTTATTCTGTTCAGTTTTCGGCATAACAGATGTATTATTAGTTCAACCTTAATCCGTACCAATGTTTATTATCCGTGAATACCGTCATACGCAATGTACAAAGAGCATGCGCAACAAGTAATTAACTAAGAGCTACTACCTTTAATTGAAAAGGTAAAGTAAATATTTTTCTTTGCTCTTGTCTTATAAAACTATATGCTAAGCCTAACATTATTTCTTGGCCTAAATCGAACCTACAGCACATACTTTATATGGTGAGAAAATATCTCCAATTTTGATCATTAAAAACAGTTTACGAAAAACAAAGGAGAATGAACAAGAACCCGCTGAAAGTTTACGAAAAACTGCATGTGTAATAGTTCTACAGTTTATAACCTCCAGTGAAAAAATTAGACTGCTGCCATTCTGCTGCACGAATTGACGGGAACGTTTACATCCAGTCGGCGCTGACGTCAATCAGTATATGTAATGCCAGGATACCCTTCTATCATAGTGTTACTACTGTTACCCTATTTTTGTAAAGGATTTGGTAAATATTAATTGAATAACACACGCTTCGTCAGGTGGCGCTGCACATCAAACTTTATATTGACAGTATACATTCCAAGAAGAGATCCATTATCCAAATCTGACATTTGTTTTCGCTTATTTCAGAATATTCACGGAAACCTACGAAAAGGGTACCAACGCATCTACTAGAAAGAAGACAGTCAACAGCAGCTATTTTGAAACAATAAACTAGAAAAAAGACAGTCAACAGCAGCCATTTTGAACCAATAAACTAGAAAGAAGACAGTCAACAGCAGCCATTTTGAACCAATAAACTAGAAAGAAGACAGTCAACAGCAGCCATTTTGAACCTTATAAATTAGAAAGAAGACAGTTAGTCAACAGCAGCCATTTTGAACCACTAAACTAGAAAGAAGACAGTCAGCAGCAGCCATTTTGAACCAATAAACTAGAAAGAAGACAGTCAGCAGCAGCCACTTTGAACCTAATAAATTAGAAAGATGACAGTTAGTCAACAGCAAAGATTTTGAATCAATAAACTAGAAAGAAGACAGTCAACAGCAGCCATTTTGAACCAATAAACTAAAAAGAAGACAGTTAGTCAACAGCAACCATTGCCAATTCTTGTGGTACTCTTATCTGACCGAATAGTGGGATCTGACTGTCACTTTTCTAGCACACCAACGGTCCTAAAGTGCGAACAGTAAACCCCCAATTCACGGTCTGAGCACGCTAACCACTAGGCCACGCCAACCCCATCTTCCATTTACAGATAACAATACGGCCGACACTTGTTAGATCAGTAACGACTTCCACATGCATCACTCGAAACTGATGAGTCATAACATCATAGATACCGAGCTGTTATAGTATCTTTATCCCCTCTTCCGCAGACCCTCCCCACCTTCCATTCATCACCAGAATAAAACAATATAAAAAAAAGCCAACACCAAGACGTATAAAAAGGAATCGTCCATTAAATACACCACGCCTACTAACACCCTTCTTGAGGCCGCTGGTTATCGGGGAGGTAGTAAATTACTTTTAAATTGGCTTGCATTTGTTTACATTAGGTCACCCGTTGAGATGTTTATCACGAGCACAGGCCATACCGGTTAAGTTTCCAGTTGCCGTGCCAGTAAAAGCACGTACGAAACAACTGTTCCTTTAATTAAGACACTAAAAAACATACAACAGTAGTGATGTTACTACATTGGGAATTTGTACACCAATTAACGCAAAGTACCGTGCTGTTGGTACTACAAAAATACTGAATAATCACAAGGATTGTTTTTAAATAAATCAAAATGCTAACAAAACTACACATATCACGAGGAACATTTTTTGCTATTTAGCCCATATTGTACTTCAACATTTGTTAAAGCCCGTATTTTAACGTGTATTTTACTTGGTGTATGATATGGTCGTCAGACCAACTAAATACGTAAAGTAATTTAACCATACATTTCAGTTGGAAACGTAAAACAACAAGAAACGATCCAACTACCCGTATAATAATTGTGTGTGTGTTTTTTTTTCCAATAGCTCAAGCCGCTGAAGTGTAGACTATAATGTCAATTTCACGTCTAGTATAACCTATGATCCCTTCGAGGACGGACAAAGGGAATTTAACAATATACATGTTTACAAGAGTTTCTATTAGTGACCGATCTATCATATTTAGCCCATTCTAATTTATACATTATTAAAATATGAAACTTACCATAACACGTGAAAAGCTAATTAGCATTTTCCCGAAGGTATCAGAAAATATATTTACTGTAGTAAACCTTGATAACAGCGTTACCACAAAGGATCACATATAAAGTGTAATAAACTTAAAATAAGACCCAAAACTCGAGCGTTTTCGAATACTTGACTATTCTTCGTCGGGAGAGAGAGCGCCCTTTGTTCTCCTGAAAGAACAAATATTCGAAAGCGTTTAAGTTTACTGTAGTAAAGATATCAGTAAAATTTACCGACCCCCCACGACTTTTACAAACAAATACCGACAAAAATTAAAATCATAAATAATATTCAAAGTTAAACTGGTACACAATTAAAAACATTTTATTTAGGCCTATCTATGACCTTCAAAAAGTTGACGACTTTACATGTTTCAACGTTACAACGTCATCCTCGGGATTGTAACGCCTAAATAAGCCACAGATAGGCCTAAATAAAATATTTTTAATCGTATATCAGCTTTAACGTGGAATATTACTTATGATTTTAACTTTATACACAAGTGCCAAGATACTTTAATAGTGACAATTTTCTTTACAAGTTTTAACAGTGAAAGGATTGGGGAATTCTTGGATTGCTAATGAAAACAACTATATAGAAAACACGAGAAGGAGTACAAAGTCATTTCTAGCAATAACAAAAATACAGTTTTTTTTTTTAAATCTATACCCGGTGAAAAAAAAAAAAGCTTCCTTGTTATCATAACATCTTTCAAGCACCGACAACACCCGTAAATACCGTATTTTGAACATGAGGCATGTAACGTTGTATATCAAATAAAGTTGTTGCCATTTCAACGTTACCTCAACGATGCAAAAAAAAAAAGATATATATAGAGAGAACAAAACTCTGGAAAAATATAGCCTACAGTTTTAGCTCTTCATACTACAACATGATTACCGGAACTACCAAACGCTAGTCCCTGGAGCCTTTCCTTGTTCCCCCCCCCCCTTCTTGAGATCTGAGACAATCAGATACAATCGACGTACCCTGTCTGCCCCTTAGTGAAACTAGTTTCAATCGACTTTAAAAAGTTCTCAGAAGTACTCCAAGTGAAGATCTGAGACGTTTAACCTGTGAAGATATTAAATCCACGTTCACGAAGAACGTGAAAAAATTGAGAAAAAAAAAAAAAACAATTGAGCGAGGCTGTTTAATAAAACATACTTGGGTTTTTGCATAAACCCGAAAACTGTTGCACGTAATTATCTCAATGTTTTTACTTCGGAAAGAAATCTTATATTTTTGCCGGTAGCCAGTTTCAGATACGTCCAAAATATTTCAATCCACACTTCGATAACTCGGCTAACTTAGAAAATGTTTTTTGATCAATCAAGTATACTCCCGAGAGTCGACTCGACAACTTTTGCACATTTAACCAAATACACAGTCTGAACTTAGCTTACTACCCTCGGGAATCCATATCACATACACATTGAAAAAATGTCCACCATACTAGTTTATATATACTAAATTCAAACGAAACCGAAAATGGCCTAGTTGTTTTTTTTAATGCACGTAAAGTTTCAGGCTGCACGTTGCGCCACAGTAAAAGTAACATGTCAAGTTTTGGGCTGCACGTTGCGTCACAGTAAAAGTAATATGCCAAGTTTTGGGCTGCACGTTGCGCCACAGTAAAAGTAACATGTTTCATGCTGAATGTTTTACTACAGTAAAAGAAACACATAGGCTACGTAGTAATGGTCATCAGCTGACTCGAATAATGACAACTATAGCCACACATCGGGAAAAGGTCAATACTTACTTAGAAAACATGATAATTGCATGGGGGATATGTGTATAAGTCGAAAAAAACGTCAAGGTGAAGGTTATACA